AAAAATTGTATATATAGTCGTTGTTCCATTGTCAAACTAATCACAAAAGGAATAAACTAAAAAGTTTTGAAGAAAAAAATAAATTAACCAATTGGGGAGAAAAAAATAGTAAATAACCATTTGATAAGTACATGTGGGTTGCTTAAACTTACAGATGATAGTATGTTGGTTGGGAATTTGGAATTGCATATATCAGGCACCTGCTACGTTTTGGTACCATTGTACAGATTACTGTCGCAGGAATTGCGTGCATTAAGAAAACTGTGTAGAAACTTGTATAATTATTTTATGTTGCGTCTTTCATTTCATTATATTATACTGGGAGCCACGGAGCTGTAGTATTCAAGTTAGGTCAAGAATAAACTTTTAATTTTCAAGAATTATAAACAAAAATGAATAATAAAACTCAATTGGGGACTGAAAAAATTCCTTTTATAATATAAATCACTACAAGAAAATTATGAAATTTCAACGAAAATATATTCAAATAGAGTTCCAACAACAGTTCTAATGGATATTTTTCAAAGCTATAATGTTCGTTGGAATTTTTCGATAGATTCCAACGGAAATTCCAACAAAAATATTCCGTTTGAATGAGTTTTCAATTGGAATTTTCGTTGAACTTTGACGATTCCAACGATAGATTTTCCAACGGGGTGGAAATAAAAATTCAAAGGAAATTATATATTCCAACCGAAATTCGGGAAAATCTGTTGAAAATATAGCCATCGGAATCATCAAATTCCATCAAAACTTCTAATGAAAAACATATGGAAAAAACACATTCCATATTCCAACGGAAATATTTGTATATTCATTGAATTTTTTTTTTTAGAAAATATTAGTATAGGATTTTCCGTTGGAATATAGTTTTTTTTAGTGAGTTCATAGAAGAAAAGTATGAGCGAGAAGAGAAAATAATGAGTGAGGAGAGTAGTCGCTAGCTAGTGTTTAGTAAAATTAGCTGATAAGCTAACTGAAATAAAAATTTCAACTACCTTATTAGAAAAACTACATAAACAAGCTTATGAAATAAGGTAGCGTTTTTTTTAAATGTTCTTCCTACCAAACGAGATTTATTTGAATGTAGGAAGCTTATAAACTAACTAAATAAATTATAAACTAACTTATTTAACTACCAAACATATCTTAGTCCTCCAAGGTTTTTTTTATCATGTACAAGCGATGGCAGTTGAACTTAAATTAATATTTATGTCTTATGACTGTTTATTGCGCATGGATTTTTGAAATGTTTATGATCATACACAGTTTGATTAATTGAACTTGTCAAAGTCAGCCTTCAGAATTAGGTTGGGATTTCGAGGATATCAAAAGATATGAAGGCAAGAATCAAGATGCTTTGGGAGAGAGACGTAAGTTTGTAGGTGTGGTGCAATAATCATTCTTAGGAGCGAATATTCGTCATAAAACTTGAAGCATTCGAAAGTCTAATGCTCTCTTTCATGTATGTAGTAATGTCTAATTATATTTTATTTAAGTAATTATACTTAAATTAGTATTCGTTCATGTGCACATAAATAGAGACAAATAAAAATTTATATATTACATGTATATATACAATTTTAAAATTTTAAATTAGATAACGGATGTATTACATTTTAAAATTTTTGACTATACACAAATGTACAATATAAATATAAATTATTTAACTTGCATGTGAATCTTTATATTGATGACATAAATTTTAATGAACAATGTAATTTTGTAATTTAGAGGGACTATACGATTAATTAGTTAGAAAAGTATTACAACTATTTTTTGTGTTGTTATAGTAACTAGTATGCGATCCTATGCACATGCACAAATACAAATAAATTTTTATATGATATACGTGTGAATGTAATATTTAAAATTATTATTTAGGTAATGAGCATATCACAATTTATAGTTTATTAGTATTAAAAATGAACGATATAAATATAAACTATTTAACTCTTTGAATATATCACTAATTATAATTTAGATAATGAACATATCACTAATTTATTGATTTTGTACTATGTATGTGATAAAATATTATTGTATAATTCTTTTAAGCATTTTCATAACATAAAGGAAAATTCCGAAAGTAAAAAAAACTAATTTTTTGTTATCCAATTAAATTTGCTAATATGTGATTTCAAATTAAGAATTAAAAATAAAATAAAATAAAATATACTTAAGTGTGAGAAAAAACAAATGACTAAAATTATGTTAGAATATTAGAAATTACATTATATATAAAAGTTGAATAATCTTGATTGTAACAATTAGATAGAAGTAGAATAAAGTGAAGAAAAATATAATATTAATAATAGATTTTTGTAACGTCTTTTGGAGGGAAAACAAAAGAGGTTTTATTAATTGTTTTGCTAGCAATTATATATACTAGTTTTAACCCGTGTATTTGTACGGAAAGCTATATGATAGAGAAAAAAAAATATAACTATAGTGAAATCACATAATATAGTCATTGAAAAAAGAAAGTTTTAATAAAGATCTAAATATTATTAAACACTTATTTATTGAATGTGAGCCTTTGGCCAAAAGGTGTTACCGTAGAAACATCAGATGACGTACCTACAAAAATTAATTTATAAAATAAAATTGTGCACTAAAATTTAATTTTTAAAAGAGAATATATAACACATATTTATTTACTAATGTCATTTTTTTCATTTTAGAAAGTTTTAACAAAACAAAAACATAACAAACATCAAAATTGTGATGTACATATCAATAGTATATGTAAAAAATTTAGTCATATAATGGTTTTATTTGTTTAAATAATCACTATATTTCGTACTATAATCATATATGAAATTTAAAAAAAAAACATTAATTACATACCAGCAAAATATAAAAAAATTGTATTTTGTTGATAAATAATGATATGTGTTAAATATTTAATACATTTGAACAAAATGGCAATTTTTAGGCCATATTAATTATATTGATTGAATGATGAAAAAGCCCAAATTAGCAGTCCATTTAAATTTTTTAGGATAGCCTAAATCAAATATAAAATCGATCAATTATAACAGGACTATAAATAGAGAGAAAGCCCTAACTGAGACGATCTAAGCCATTTTTTTGTTTGATGTTGACGCCTCTCTCGTTTTCTCTCTTTGTCTGAAACCCTAATCCTTTACCTATCTTACAACAAACTCGCTAAGATTCAAGACAAAAAAATGTTTTACCGAATATTTTCTCCCAGTAAACGCTTAGAATATGAAAGAAAAACACCTGAGAAATGGAGTTTTGTGGCCAACAGAGATCAAATAATAAGAAATTGTCCCGATTTCTTAACCCGTCTTGCTAAATCATAGCAAGTCGGTCAAAATCGGGTGATAATATTACAAATCTATGAAAAGCTAAAATCTTTTTCTTAAACAATGATTTTTTTTTTCAATGATCTGTGTCGTTTTTTGAACTTTTTGTAAATAACATTCTAAGATATATCGCATTTTCTACAGAATTCGGAATTATTTAAGAAGTTTTTCGAAATCGTTTTCAAAGTTGTTCAAAGTCTTTTTTTCTAAGTTTTTCAAAATCGTTTTTTCGAAGAGAACATGACCTTTGATGAAGTTTTTCAAAGTTTATGTATTTTGTTCATATACATATCTGTTTAGATGTAAATCAATTTATAGGAATTTTTTGTCTTAATGTTTAGAATTGTGTTTGAGATTGAGGTATAAAGGATTAAAAAGATTAATTATTTATTTTTAAAAAAAAAATTACGAATTTTGGACAAATCTAGTAACATTTGAACATATCACTAAATAGTTGAGCTCTTTCTCGCATTTCCATCATCTCAGTAAGTGAAACTTACACTAACACTTGTGCTATATGTATCTGAAAGGGAAAATTTCAAAACTAGTCCCACATGTATAGGGGGGTGACAATTTTGGTCCCGACGGAATGCAGAAAATATGAATAGTCCCACAACTTTTAAAAAATGATCAAAAGTAGAACTTTTTCTCCGGATTTACTATTTCCGGCCCGGAACGCCACGTGACATCCGACGTGTTCATGTTTTTTTACAAGTTGTGGGACTAGTTTTGAATTTTTCCCTATCTAGGAAAAAATTCAAAACTAAGCCACGTGTGCGCCAGCGTGTAAAAAATAAGCTACGTGTGCGCCACGTGGCGTTCCGGGCCGGAAATAGTAAATCCGGCGAAAAAGTCCTACTTTTGATCATTTTTTAAAAGTTGTAGGACTATTCATATTTAGTGCATTCCGTCGGGACCAAAATTGTCATCCCCCTATATCTGTGGGACTAATTTTGAATTTTTCCCGTATCTGAAATATTGATTGCACTATTTATGAAAAATTATTAGTATTAATCCTAATATTTATATTTTTATGTAATTGTGATCTTTCAGGGCATCTTCAATGTTTCATTGTGATCTTAAGGTAATTTATCGTTTATATGTAAATGTATGAGTCTACGGCTTCTGTTGGTAATTATTTCACATTTTGAATGAGTTTTGTATGTTCAGAATTCTACACAATCATTATTTTATGT